TGAGATTTGACCTCAGTATTTTTTTGTTTTTCATTTTATATGAAGTGAGTATTGTTTCTGGATGTTTAGGTTGAGACAGGTTTCATGAAAGCTTTTCTAACTTTACAGAACTACTTCTGTTTCTCTGTAACATTTAAAAATATGGGTACTTATTTTCTGAAATTTCTTGGCTTTATTTCCCTTCTGACATTGGTCTCGACCTTCTTTATCTATGCTTCTTGGATCCCTATTCTGTTGAATTCTGATCCCACTTCCAGAAGTTTCTCTTCTGTGTGGAGTTCTGTCCTGGAAAAGAGCCTGCTTGATAGTTTTGAGAGTTCATAGAGGTCCGGATTGCTCCTGACTATTCACTTCTTTCTATAGTGGGTCCTTTGCACATACCCCAAAATTGAGAGGGCCAATTGCAGCCTGTTTCAGCTGCAATTCTCAAATTGGCCCACTGTCCTTTCCTGTGAATTCTTTTGGCTATTTTGGGGGTTCTCCTGTACTCAGGTTCTTCAGACATTATCCCACTGATTCTCTCTTCTGCCTGCTGTCCAGACTCTGATACCGTGAAAATCTATGCCTGTTGCTAGTTTACCCCAACCCTGTTTATATTTTGAAATTATGGGAGTACTGTATCATCTAGTTTTGTTATATTTCTTGGATTTATTTTCTAGTTGTTCCATCTGGTTCATGTGGGGAATTGGAGATCGTGAAAACCATGCCTTCATGGCTGCCATCTTTCCAGAATGCCTCCCAGTGCTCCTGTTTTAACACATTAAAAAAAAAAAAATACACAAGCAGGGAGATGGCTGTAACGGTTTCTCATGTTGGAGAACAGAAAAGAAGACATGTTCACCAATTCTGCCACTTCTGGATGAGAGAAGAGGAGGAGAGAAGAGGAAAAGCCCCCACAATTCTGGTTGAAGTTCCCTTCCACAAGGAGCCTGCTGTTTTAATTTCATTCATTTTTAGTAATTGAATTCTTGTAGAGCTTGATTTTTTCATCCGGGAGCATGAGCCTGGGCCACGTCCACTTGCTGTTTGATAGCCTCCTTTGTCATGCCATGTTCTTTGAAGCCAGGCTTTGAGATGTTTTAAAAATGAGTCTTGGTACCTCCCTGGTATCTATTCGGGCTGCATCTGGCTTTGCTTTCTTAGGATGCTTGTTCTGTTTACGATGGGGGAACTGTAGCTTCCCATGTTGGGCATTTTTATCAACAAGCAGCTTATTATGTCCTTTGTGCTTATACTGTGAGCAAAATGTAAGATATGGTCCTTTCCCTGAGGGCGTTTGGTTCTTCTCATCTGTCTTTTGGATATAGGAAGCCAGGGAACCAGTGTCTTGTGGGCTTTTCCCCTCCACTGCTACCCCCACTCTGAATACTGATGAAAATACTGTGCCAATTAAACATAACTAGGTCTTTGAATTACAGGCCCAATTTGGTTTGGAGTTTAGTGTTACCTGTCATTATCAACTTCCAAGATTCTCAATGAAAGTCTGGATTAATCAGTGCAGATCCCCATCAATGCGAGGGATGTATTTGCCTCTGAGTGGTCTACATTGGTCTACACTGCTGTCCATTGATTACTCAGAGTTGTGAGACGTGATGGGTTCTCTCCCACATTATGTTTAAGATAGCAGTCAAGGTAACTTGTAGTATCTTTCTAATTGTACTTCCCACCATTTTGTTTTTGAGTAAAACTTGGATGGTTCCTAACCGAAAATTTAGTATCTTTCAACTGACCAAACCGATGACTTCTTTCAAGGAGAAGAAAACTCCAAGCAGGAATAAAAAATGGCCAGTTATGTCTGTAGGCAAACTATAGATTTAAGACTACAGCATTCTTCTCAGTAGAGTGATGGTGAAGAAGATAGCTTGGGAATCACTGCCAATTTTCAAATACCTCCTCCATTATTTTGCAGTGCATAGGTATGTGACATCGGACGGTTTTCAGTCTGTCTCCATTTCTTCATATGTAGAATGTGGTAGTAAAGTTCCCTACATCATAGGGTTAATGTGTTGATTAAATGAGATTATGTACATAGTAGATCCTCGACTATTGGTTTGATGGGTAAAAGATGGAGTGTCTGGGCCTTTTAAGGCACTGTACTGGCCAACTGGGATATAAAAATGAGCAAAAATTGGGATGTCTGGGTAGCTCAGTCGGTTAAGTGTCCAACCTTTGGTTTTGGCTCAGGTCATGATCTGAGGGTCCTGGGATTGAGCCCCAGGTTGGGCTCCATGTTCAGCAGGGAGTCTGCTTGTCTCCCTCTCCCTTTGCCCCTCCCCCTGCTTATGCTCTCTGTGTCTATGATAAATAAATAAATCTTAAAATAAATGAGCAAAATTCCTTCACTTGGAGCTTTACGATTGGATGAGGAGACTAATTAATTAGCAATCACAGGAAGGAATATAACATTGTCACCACAATAAATGCAATAGAGAGGCATGAGACACTTCAGGGGCACATAATAGGGACAGGAGATGTGTGGGAGGTTAAGGAAAGTTCCCATCAGAAGACCAAGGTAAAATGTAAAGAAACATAGATGGGAATGAATTAGGAGAAGGCGTGTGTTTGTCACATGTGTGGGTGAGCACAAGTAGGATGAGAGTGTCCCAGTCAGAGAGGTTAGCATGGAGAGTGGCTCTGAGGCAAGAGGGTAATTGGTGACTATGAGGAACCTAGAGGCCAGTGTGCGAAGGGAAGGGTACAATGGGCAGTGCTACCTGAGACGAGGCTGGAGGAGGCAGGAGGGAAGGAATGGTCACAACTTGGGTGCCTTTCTAGGCTGTGTTTAGGAATGTGGTCTAGCAAACCATGTTAGGTGTTTGAATTCTGGAGAGACATTTGTAAAAATCTATTATTGTTGTTTTGGGTTTCTAAAAAAAAGATTTATTTATTTACTTGAGGTGGGGAGGGGCAGAAGGAGGGAGAGAATCTCAAGCAGACTCCCTGCTGAGCATGGAACCCACCAGTGGGCTCCATCTCGCCACCCTGAGATCATGACCTGAGCCAAAATCAAGAGTCAGCCATTAACGGACTGAGCCACCCAGGTGCTGCGGTTGTTTTCTTGCTATTATTAGTTTTATTCCTTAGCAGTCCTTCGCAGACTAAATATGTTATATACATTAATATTTATTTATTGATTCTTTCTTCCAATCTCTATTATTGTTCTCTCTGAATGCTTAATTCCTCATTCCTTCCACTTAGGAATAAAGCTGAGAAGATAGCTTTGTTTTCTTTCAATCAGCTTTACTATTTGAAGCGGAATTTGCTTTTGTATAACTTTAGGCAAGGTAAATGAAAAACAATTGCCAAAATATTACCTACTGTGACACACATAAATATTTTACGCCTCATCGTCTTTGTGAAATGCTCAAATGCTGTCATTTGTTACTTGTCTAACTTAAACAAACCAAAGCCAAACTCATTAGAAATTTTGGTGTCCTGTGTTGGCAGGAAACTCACTGATTTCATGTGTTTTGATCTTACCCAGAGCAAACTTTTGGAAATTCGAGGCCTGAGGTCGACTCTGCGTGACAAGGGGAGAGTTTGACAGTGTGTGTGTGTGCGGGCACGTGTATGTGCACACACGCATGGATATTTTGTGTTTGCTGATCTTTTCTTGGTCAATGAAGAGCTAACAGTCGTGCTGTGAAACTCCCCAGACATCAATAAGGGCACAACTCCGTTTCCTACCCTACAATAAGGAAATAACGTATTCACTTAGGACATGTAAATAAAATTGTCCTGTCCTTTTCAAAAAAGCTGAGTAGCCTTGGGGTGCCCTGAGGCTCATGCCATGATGCCCCATCGATGTTATCCTTGACGGGCACCATCCACACTGTTCCCCTTGAATTCTCCATTCTCTAGCAACCCCACTGTGTATAAAGGTGCCCGCCCTGTCTTACTCTGTAATTTGCCTTTTATCATTGTATGATAAACTTGGCTGGGTTTACTTTTTTTCTATTTGTGTATTATTCTGGTATAAAATGAGGTTTTGGCTCATCTAGGATGAGAGTTGTTAATCATATTAGCATTTTTTTCTAACTACAACACCTCACGTTTCATGTAATATGCATCTCCCCAGAACTTTGATGAATATGGTTGTAAAACTAAAAAGTACTTTGAAGGGGGGTGCCTGGGTGGCTCAGTCAGTTAAGTGGCTGCCTCTGGCTCAGGTCATGATTCTAGGGTCTTGGGATCGAGTCCCACGTCAGGCTCCTCAGCAGGGAGCCTGCTTCTCCCTCTTATTCTGCCCTTCTTCCTGCTCATGTGCTCTCCCTCTCTCTCTCACTGAAATAAAGAAATAAAATCTTTAAAAAAAAAGTACTTTAAACGGTAGGAATTGTCTCTAGCAAGCTAGGTAATGAGTAGAATTGCAGATGGTAGGTTTGGCCCATGAGGATCGAGATTTCCTCATTACATTGTTATTGCGGATAATCGCTTACTCCACAAGGAGCATGAGCGTTATGCAGAGCTGAGAAATCAGGTGAAGGGTCTTCATCTTTATTTGATGTACAAGATTTGATTTTTTTTCCGCCTCAGGAAAAATAATTGTTTTAGCCCATATACTTCTGTATAACATATGTAGATCAAATACTTTTGGCTGAATTAACAAAATAGGCAAAAAAAAAAGTTTCCTGATTTAGCTCTATTTATATAATAATTTGTTTTCTATTAATAGTCTCTTTGTTAGTTAATAGTAATTAGTCAATTGGGTAGACATACTTAATATTTGATCAATATGTTAATAAAATAGTTGAGCAAAGGGTTAATGGTTTAGGATATTTTGTTTCATGTAAATAAAATGTAAATGTGTTAATGGACAATACATATATATATATTTTTTCATATATGTATTTTTAATAGCAAGAGCTCTGGTAAATAAGTTTCTCACATAGAATGTGAGCCCCTTATATGCAGTACTGATTATTAATGCCTGACATGTAGCATGTAATGATTTTTAAATGAATAAGTAATTATTTTGAAAAATATTGTATCTGTTTCAGGACAAGATCTTCAGGTTTGCATATCCCAAAAACCTACATGTTGCACTAGAAAGATGGAGGAGAGATACCAGATTGCAGCTCGCCAAGATATGCAGCAAGTGCTTCAAACATCCAGCTCAACGCTGAAATTTCTAATATCGAGAAATGCTGCGGCTTTTCAAGGTAAATGTATCTTTATTTCTGAAAGTAAGAAGACTTGTTGTGCAGTTTTCCTCTTATTATACTGGGAAACTTGGCTGGGTTTACTTGTCTTTGGATGCCATTATTCTGGTGTAAAATGAAGTTTTAGTTTCTTCTAACCCTCAGAACTTGTTTCCGAGGTCATCGTGGGGCATAAATACTGAGTTGGACTTGGGAAACCGTTAGTTAGTGAAATGGTTCTTGAAAATATATGCCCTTTTAGGGTCTTTCCAGGGCCCCCAGTATTCTTACCTATGGTTTTACTTCCAACAAGGACGGACATAATTATTAGATTTTAGTAAAGTATTCTATAACATAAAATCTCATTGTTTTTAGCTGGGTAATTATAGATTTGTTTTTAAAAAGTTGATTTGAAGAAATATTTGTCTAATTTTCCCCCTGCTACCTCATGTGGTTTTCATAAGAACATCAGTATGATATTTCAAAGTACAGACAAGTCTGATAAATAGTAAAATAGGAAATATTAATTGGATATTTAAGGATCAGCTAAGACCAGAACTCAGCCTTAACTCAAATAGTATGTTCAGAAATAAAATTAATGGGTTATAAAATTACAAGGCACATTGGAAAATAGATGATCTTTTTCTTATTTTAGTCATCATCTCTATAAAATTCCTTATTACTACAATAAAATAGCTTAATTTATTTTTCCTTTTATAAAGGATTAGCTTTTCTGTATATGATTAGAATGAAAATATCTAGAATACACTATATTTTAGACAAATTTATTGTTTTTGTCCAAAGCAAAATATAACTTCTGTTAGTATTCCTTTTCCTTAAGTATATTAATGTCAATCTATTTAAATAATTTGTGCTTTGTTTACATGCATAACTAAAGCACAAAGCTGATTAATTTTTAAAACTATGCTCATTAAATAAAATAAATACAATAAATCAGGATAAAATTTAAGTTGAGATGAAATGTAGTTCGTGATGAATTGATGATTTTTTTGTGGAAACTGACTTGTCAGAGTTTAAGATATTATTTTAGTGATTTTTTTTTAGCTGTCTTAGAAACAATCTTATTTCTGTTACGGGATATATTCATATGAAATTGTTGGAAGAAAACATATTGATATGCCTTTTTAAGGAAAAAATTATGATTTCAACTGGCTGAACCAGAACCAGAAGACTTTACACACACAGAGTGATATGATGATTTTGTCTCATGAAAATGACAACATGCACAATATGGATAATATATTGTAGAGATAAAGGGAGTGTGAATAAACCAGTTTGGCTAGAACAGGGGTGGGGAGTGTGGTGGAGATTCATATGCTTGAAAAGGTGAGCTGGACTTAAACACGGAAGGAGACTTTTAAAGCATCAATTTGAGTTTGAGATTCATTAAAGATTTTTGAATAGGAAAGCTTCATTATGATTTCTCAACTTGGTCAAAATGAAATTCCTTTAAATAAGAATATATAGCCGAAGAAGATCATGACCAAAGAAGCCAGCTTTTTTGGATAGCAGTATTAACTACGGAAGTGAAAGAAAGTATCATCAGTTGCTAATGTATGGGCATCAGTGAATGTTAGCTGAACATTTTCCTCTGTCTTCAAAGATACTGTAACCTTTCATGCTTTGCCAGATAACTTGATCAAGATAGAGACATAGAGTATATTATGGAGTGCTTGCCTGGCTTAGTTTGTAGAGCATGCAACTGTTGATCTTAGGGTGGGTTGGTGGGTGTATGTACACACACACACACACACACAGACACACACACACACACACACACACACACATATAGCGAGAGAGAGAGAGAGAGAGAGAACACAAGAATACATATACATTAAGTTCAAATGATTGGGAAAAATACAAAACCTGAATTACTTAGATTTTCAAGATGGGTTCAGACTGCTGAAAAATTTTGGTGATGTTGCTAAAAGTATGGTGACAACTAAGTGGTAGAAATATGTGGTATTGTCTCTATCTGCCAGAGTATCAAGTAATATTATATACATTAAAAATTTTTCTCTTTTATACATTGTGTTATATTCAGTAGGTTGAGTTTTGCTGTTTACTTAAATACTAATCATAAGAAATGAAAATGGTAGGAATTTTCTTAAATATGACTTATTATAGATTGTTGTATTGTCCCTTTATGAAGTGTCAAGTTATATTTAAGAATCATGAGAAGGCAAGATAAATTTAAAATAAATTTGCCTAAAGGCTAACTTTACTGGAACACATTCTCTTATAAGAAGAATACCTACTTCTAATTTAATAAATAGAGTAAGAAGCTTTAGGCTTATGTCCATAAAAACAAGCTTAAATATATATGGTGAAAGCAATTTAAGAAATCACATTTACTGTAATTAAGCAGGCAACTTCATCAATAATTAAAATACCTACCATCTAGTTTCTGTGACATCAGAATATCTGAAAACAATTCAAAGTCTTTATTTTTCTAAGAAAGAAGCCAACACGTTTTATTGGGAAATTGCCCGTTTGAGAGATATTTAATGGGGAAATCAGTTCATTTCTCACATGATGTAAGTAGATTTGCTACGTTTTGGTATTTTGACTTTTAAGTATTTCACTTATATTAAACACTGCTCCAGCAGTGTTAACCTGTTTTCTTTAACTGGTATCTGGGTTATAAAAGACTTTAGACCAGGTAGCAGTCTAGTAGTATGTAGTATGTAGTATGGGTCCTTCTCTCATGGCTTTCACAGAATCCCATGGAAGCATGTTTTTGAAGCAACCTGTTGGATGCGGCCGATGGGAATGATCACTTGAGTCTGTGGATTTAGTGGGCACCCACATCACGGTGAGATGCAGGGACTGTTAAAGGCAGGGAGGAAACAGTGCTGGTAACTGGTGCTGGAAGACGTAAGGTTATCCCATATACAGTCCACATTCAACTCTGGAATTCAGCCCTGGCAGGTACATACCAGGAGAGTCAAAATCAGCCTAGACGGACAACTCTTCTATTTTTCTTTTATGGAATTTATTGGTGTTTGTCTCAGTCAGATTTCCTTAAAATAAACAAACACCAAAACAAAAGTCTGTTTTTGGAGGGTCCATAACTATGACCAGGAGCTTCACTATATCCCAAGTGTAGTCATTTATACCAGATGGAATGTTTTATAAGCTAAAAGACACAAGCTGATATCTTTGTGCATGTTCCTCTTCATAAATATGTGGTGCTGTTTGCAAAGAGGAACGTTGGCTTTGTCACAGTGCAGACAATAACCGTTCTTTATTTTCAGGGCTTAATAATGCTCATGAATAAAGCAGAACAGCCTGAGATAATGCAAAAGAGTTTGCTTCCCTTCAGCTCTTTTACTGTGAGTGTGGGCTTGCTGACTTTAAACATTTTGGAAATATGCTTCATAATGTTTTATTTATTTATATACTAAAGTATGGTGTGACTCATGAAGAAACAGAGGCAGATGACAGAGAATTTGTCATTTCTGTAAAAAAGCAACTCTTACGCAGTTTTCAAATTTGTTGGTTTTTAAATCTCCATTCAAATAAGATGATGCAGTTTAATTTTTTTTAAATTGAAAACTCCTAAACACAATTTTCAGCATCATTTTCAAAAATTAAAAGGAAAGAAAAAATAAAAAAAGGGAGGGATATTTGGGAGAACTCTATTGGAAATTTGTGTTTTGTTGAAACTTCAGGAAGGTAAGGTTAAAAAGCTACATCTTTCCTTTGAGATGTACCTTTCCCTATTTCTCTTATCTTCCAGTATCTTATGTATTTCTGAAATATATGGTAGATACTAAGTCTTTATTCTGGAGGTTTCCAGTTTTATATATGGTATTTAAGAAGTGTACATTATTACAAAAACTGATCAATGGTAGAACAAGAAAGATTTAGCATTTTTATTTATGATTTTATTCTCTTGGCTGATTAAATTTTCATTTCTCGATTGTAAGTACTTGAAAGATTGGCAAGCTTGTCCTCGTGGGTTGAGATGTGAGATTTAGGAATTTAATAAAAAATACATTCCTATTTTTAATGAAATATAGGCATATGTTCAAAATTAAATATCTTATTTTAAAAAGTAGGTGAATTCAGAATGAGAATGTAATTAATGGATTTTCCTCCTTACACTAACGGATGCTAGCTACTGTGAAGTGTGTAGCTAGTGCGTAGCTTCTGTAAACCTAACGTAAAGTCAAAGGCTCCAATATCTATAGTCAAAGGCACAAAGATATAGTGAATATTGGAATATATAGGAACATTAGGAGAGTAAAGAGATTTACATAAATGTTATTAAGCATGAAATCCATGAATCTTAGTCATTTTAGCTATGCTCTGACAAAGCTGGATAATGTTTAAAATTATTCCTTAGAAGAGCATTATGTGGAAGGATAAAGGAGGAATACTGTTTTTAGCAATGAGAATTACCTGATCAAAAGTTCAGGTGCAAGAGGACGGGTAGCTGTGGGCTGGCAATGTGGAGAAGGCTTGTTTTTCTCCTTCTCTAGCACCTGAACTGAAGTGCATGAAGGAATGAATGAATGAATGAATGAACGAACAAACGAACAGTGCTTCGCAGGAAGATGGTTCTGAGGTAAAAATCACAGAATCCCTCCCTTCCTCATTCCTTTCTCTTCTGTATTCCTCTCTCGATGATTTACTCTCTCTGTGGAACACCTACTAGGTGCCCACGCTGCCGGGTGCTTGGGTCGTAAGTGTCCAGACCTTCAATCTGTTTTATTTGCATCGATTCCTTCTGACTTCTCATATGCCAACATCTGGTTATTGCTTTTATGAACTAGCAAGGGGCACATGATGGTGTCTCTGTCAATGGCATCAGGAACGTGATTGCGCTGTTTTCCCCCCATCAGTTTCAGGCAGCACGTGGTTTAGCGTGTTATCTCATACAGCAGCTATCGAAGCAACTGGTCTTTATCCTAAACTGTCCTTTATCTCTGAAATGTTAAAAAAAATTGTTTCCTTTGAATCTGTGTCAGCAGGCTGCTGTTAATTCTGAAAAT